TAAAAAAAAAAAAAAAAAAAAAAAAAAACCTTCCCCAAATCATCAATGAGACACAGGCAAAAACCTAAGGGGCTGGAAAAGAATGCTTTATTACCACAGCAGGAATTCTGTGGGTGGTATTGGCAGGACACCAATTCTATCTACCCTGAATAGAATGCTGCAAAATCACCCCAAATCTGACAATGGGCCTCAAATAAAAACAGTTGCTGCATCTTAAACACAAAAGATAAATCAAGTTGATCTTATAGACATGACCAAATATGAAAAAAAAAAAAAAAAATGGATACAAATACATTTTGCAAATAGTTGATGTTTTTAGTAAATTTGTCAAATGGGCTGCATTGAAGGACAAATCAGCAGAAGCCGTAGCTGATTCTCCATGCAACCACTTTTCTGTGGTGGGACCTCCATTTGTACTGTAAGCGATAACGGGGGGGAAAGTTAAAGGGGGCCACCCAAATACTCGTGCAGATATGGGTGTCACCATCATTAAAGGCAGACCATTTTATCCTCAGTTCCAAGGAAAGGCAAGTGTAAACTCATGTAATCATTAAAGTGATAATAACTCTTCGTTTTGGCCAAAAAATGAATTTTCCTGGAGTAAACAACAATTTTCCCATACTTACCAATGGTTAATGAATCCATTTTTACATTCAAAGTTAGTCCCTGGTTTTTTTCTAAAAAGTTTGGTTTTTTGCTAAAATCTCTTAAGAGATTTTAGCAGAGTATAGCCATCAATGGAGGTCACGTGGTCTAAAGACAAGCTCAGATATCAGAATAATAGCTTTAACTGCCGTTTTTGTGGTAAAACAGAATATATTATATTTCTATGAGTTATTCACAATGTTTTTATTGTGAAATATAGATCTCATACGAAGAGTTATTATCCCTTTAACCGTAATGTAAACCCTTGATCACAAACTGATGCCATGCTAATTGCATACCATCTCATTTAATTGGACTGAACATTCATACAACCTAGGGACCATTCCCAGACCCAATCATGCTAACTGTGGATGGATCCATCTCCAAGGGGATTCTCACTATATTGCAATCAATTTAAGCGGCTTAGATGTCTGCCATGCCTACTGAAGTAACTTAAGCAGCTTTAGTAGGTGTCTCAGACATTAAAGTTGCTTACGCTGAAAGCGAGAAACCCCTTGGAGATGGATCGATCCTGTAAGATCCATCTAGGTATGGGAGCCCCATCATAAACTCTACATTTGCCCCTGACTCTAACTACATTCTAAATTAAATGACAAATAAAAAACAAAACAAAACTAATATGTATTTACATATATTCTTATTCAATAACGACTTGAATACCAACAACAACAACTGACTGTTAAGAACACCAAAGAAACAAATAAATAAATAAATAAATAAATAAATAAATAAATGAAGCACTTAGTAAAATAACCAATCAAATTAGTTTTTTTACTGAAAAATCACCCAAGGAAGGCTTTTCAATGGTTTAACTTCATTACTAATACATCATTTATTCCATATATTTATACCTTAACTAAATTCAATTGTTCACAATAAAATCGGAGTGATCCAGCACTCTTTCTTGACAACACTAAATCTAAATCACTTAGCACTATGGACATCATCGTGTCTACACACGGTCTAAACAGCCCAAAGAAAGACTATACATGTACATTTGTGCAAAATGTTGCCGGTCATGTGATAAGAGGTTTTTGTGTGAAATAATAAACTGTCCACCGCGAGTTCTATGCCACACCACCTCTAGCACCTATGGGAAGTATTCATGGCATATATCAGAGGAGGGTGGCAGTGTATTATTTGACATACATATCAAAATAATCTTCTCACATTTCACAGAAAACCATCCCTATATATAAACAAATAAAGCGCATATTTCTATGGTCACATACTAGTAACATCTCCAGGTACGTATCCTAAATAACAGATATGACATGTGCCAGCTTCTTCAATTTCAAATCTCCATATCAACAGGAAGTGGGTAAATGTGGAAGTTTTCATTATTATTTTTTTTTCAAAGCTCAACATCAATGAGAAGTGGGCATACATGGAGATTTGAAACTGAAAAAGCTTGGCCTTATTGGATCTGAAACTCTATTGGAGGTATATTTTTCCACTGAAAATTGCCCTTGACACAATAATGTCAGGCCAGACAAAATTGATGCATTGGTTCAGAATTGTGACCACCCCTAATTTGAGGGGGTTTTTTTTGTATCCTTTTTGGTACTGGATGAGTAAGAGGAAAAATTTTACCACTGACCCCAGATTTAAAATTTATGGTTTAAAATTGCCTTCACTGTGAATTTGACAACCTCTACCCCCACCCCCCAAAAATAAATAAAGAAAGAAATAAATAAATAAATAAATAAATAAATAAATAAATAAAAACCTGTTTACAAAGAGTTCTAACTTTTTACCAATTTATCAATTTTGTCTGACCTTACTGTTGTCATATACTTGTTTCATGTCAAAACAATCAACAATGGTCAAAAATTTTTCTCCATGATATAAGAAATGTTCCCATGATTTTAACTGGTGTAAACTATAAATCTCACATTCATGGCACTTTCACTACATGCAATTGGACAATGCAAATAATACATTTTGAAAAATATTTAAGTTTCTGATTACCAATTGCATGTGCAAAAATTGTTAGTATCAAACTGACAAATCCACTAAGACATTGTAGTCATGTGACAGACAATAAAAATAACTAAAAATTTATACTTGTATAATTCTATTAATGATGAATCCTATAATTTGAAAATATTTTTTGCTTCTGATTAGCGTGCACATGTATTTGTCACATGGTAAAAACTGACTAGGCCACGCTCATTTAGACACCAAATACATGTTTATGACAATTATGATTTTTAAAGATTTATACATTTTATTTATCTATAAAAAATCCTACCACTGGCTGGGTCTTTCCAATATTGCAAACATCCCTCAAATTGTAGGCCTTCAGCTGGAAATTGATTTCTGGCAGTAATCTTGACTCAGCTGTGAAAAGACACTTGCTCCTTGTGGTTCCCAGGTCACATGACATAACGGTTTTCTCCTATTGGCTGTCGTCTGTCACATGACAAAATTATTTCCTCCTATTAGTCCAGATGTCACCTTCTTTGGTTATCTAATATAACATGACTAGTGACACTGTATGCTCATGACTTAGAGAAAAATTCCTATTGGCTGACAAATGTCACATGACTTAAGAAAGCTCTCCTATTGGTGCATTGTCCAACCACAAATCATGCATGAAGTTGTAAAGTTGATCTGACACAGATACCTAAAAAAAAAGAAGTTAAAGCTTCAGAACCGACATCAACTTGGAATCAATGCTTAAAATGAACAAAACTGAAAGATTCTTATTAGGTCCTCATCACAGGTTTGCAATGATTTACTATCTCCATAAAATATACTGCTCATTTTTGGGGAAAAAAAGCCTTCAGTGCCTCATTTGGTAAAACTACAGTGTCATCTAAAGTAGTCGGTGGCTTTTTAGCATCATGATATCTTGCTGGTCATAATTTTTTATTTTAGCATATAAAAGTTGACTCTAAATCTTGTGTTGGGCGAGTCATCTGGTCATAAAAAAACTTAAAGCACAGTACATCAATCCCGTAATCAATCCCGTTTCAGGCTGCGTTCAGCGCTTGTTGCAAGACAATTTGGAAATAACCATTTTCTTACCTTATATGGGGTAGGATTCAACGCCCTTTTATGGTCCGGTCTTAGTTTATTCAATGACGCCAAGGCTCTCTCTTTTATTTCTTTCATTTTGGGTAATGGCTGTTGCACCTGTGTAATAAATAAATAAATAAATAAAAAGTAAAAGCTTAAAATAATGTTACAATACCTTAAAAGAAATACTGAAAAAAGAACACATAAATTTTATCTTCCGACAACAAAGCTAATTTTGATTTAAACAAAGTTTTCTGCGGACCAACAGCCAGAAAGAAACAAAATCCTGAAATCTAAGTCTAGCCAAACTCATTAACAAGTTTCTATTTCAGCCCAAGGGAACAAACCTGTCCATCTTTCCAATATAATTTGTGCAGACATTCCACATAGGCAGGTATAACATAGGCTCTTTTGGACTCTACAAAAGGGTGTCTGCAAAGGACTCTCTCCTTGACCTTGGGCGGCTCCTCCTCTGACTGGGTCATTAAGTCTAGCAGGGCATTACCTGAAAGTGAAAGTGAGAACACATGTGAAGTTCATTAAGTTTTTTCTTTCTTTCTTCTTTTTTTTTTTTTTTTTTTTTGAAGTCTTGACTGATATATGTAAATACATTTCAGGGAGGGCGTGTTTGCTTCTTTTCACACGTGTTGGGCTCCAAGTACTAAGGCCAATTAAAAACCATCACATTTAATCCTGTAAACTGGTTATGACGAATGTGAAGGCAAATGTTTCAAAAACTCTTACGTAATAGTTAGGCTAATAATTGTCATTTTCTCAAAACTATGAAATACAGAATAATTACACCTCAAGATGTGAAAATGGCAAAGTGAATTGGTTTAGAAAAGAATCGTACTTTAAAATCAGGAAAGCCCTTCTCTACCAAATGCCTTCTGAACACCACTTACCATCACTGCCAAATAATCTGTACGCGACCTTTTTTCCTGGTGTCGTCACCTTCTCCACGTCTTGACTTAGTTTTATCCTCGCAAGGCCGTTTATCTCTACAAGCTGGAGAGAGAATTGCTCATCAATTATTTAAGATTTATGTTGTGTCTTTGGATACATTAACAGACCATGGATGGAATGAAATAAATGACCATTGCTCAAACTAGCACTTAAAATTTTATCCAATTTTTCAAAATTATTGATTAACTTTTATGTCAAAGTTGTTAATAAACTGCAACAAAAGGAAATTTGATATGTTTCTTTTTTGACAGATGATCAAGACATCATATCATAAATTTTAAAAACAGAATAATGGGGTCTTTACTTCTATCACAAAGTTTATATTCATAGCCCTATGCTGTATTTGCATCCATCACGTACCTTATACACACAGCCCAAAGCTGGCTGTTTCTTACAAGTAACTAAATGTGTTCCTATCCCATACGCATCTATGGAGTGACCCTGAAAATACATAGGATAAATTATTTTACTTCAGAGACGAAGGAGGACCTTTTAAAATACATTCTGGACAATTAAAGCCATGAAGGTAGGGAGAAATGGGGATCCATGAGAATAAAAATATCTAGATAAATCCTGAATACTCTTCTCTCTGTAACTTGTTCAGTGACACACTCAGTACTAATTTCCTTAAAGTATGAGAGAAGTTTTGTGCCATGTGTATCAAGTAGGGCTTTGTCATCCGTGTAGAGTTTTGTGACACGTGTGTCAGATGTGACAGTTGTTGCATGTCAAGTGTGTCAAGTTTTGTATTAATGTCATCTTACAGTGTTGTAGTTCTGTGATGTGCGTCAGATGTGACAATTGTTGCATGGAGTGTCAACTTAGCTGCAGCGTCAGTAATGTCAAATTTAGTGTCCTATGTTATATGTCATTTATGTCAATTGATCTGTAAGGTGACTTGTGACAAACTACCCACCTGTTGATTTAGTGAGTGGATAGTGTCCTCATCGATGTCATTGCTGGCAACTATCGTCAACTTGCCAAACCAGTCTAGGTTGAACCTGAAGAGAAAAGTCACAAAATTACAATTATTGCATGATCTTTTCAATGGGGAGAAAATCTAGTGGCTTGACATGGCCAGTAGATTTTTTTCATTAAAAAAAAAAAGAAAAAAAAAAAAAACTTTTCGCAATTATTCATAAATATTTTAAGCATGTTTTAATGGGTGAATGTGCCCCAGAAAAGTTTTTTTATTACAAGTTATGATTTGTAATTTGGATAAATATCCAGTCTGATTAAAATTTTTATTTGGACCAGTGATTTTTAATTCAGATCCGATTTTAGGAAAACTGATGGTGGTCCAAATGACCAGTAAATTGTAAAAATACTCACTTTTCCGCCACCTTCTTAAATCTCTCCCTCAGTAACAGGGACAGGTAGGCCAGGTCGCCACTGTCCAGTCTGACCCCCACTGGACGATAACCAAGGTCATGGAGGGCTAGACAGACTGCACAGAAGTTATGGACGCCAGATCTGAAGATGGGAAAATAATTATATCATTTATCTCATGCTTTCTTTTGTGATAGTGGTAAATACCTACATTCAGTGGGCACTACTTCAAAACAAAACACTGAATTTCCATTTTATAATTCATTTACATAACAATAAAGGCAAGAAAAACAGCAACTATTGTATTTTATCTCATCCTTTTGGTATGACTGGACTATGTAATCAAAGGCCAAATATATGTTTCTTTGTTCAAAATTCACAAAGCTATAATTTTTTTCTTTTAAGTGCAGGTGGTCCTCAAGTTTTGATTCTTTACTTTTTTTTCTTTTCAACTTTCACATTTTCGAAGGCATAAAGTCTCTAACCTTGAAATCCTCAATAATCATAACATCTTCATTTTTTTATATTTCTAAATTCCTCCTACCCTTTTACATAAAAATCTCTCACTTAAAAATAAAACTAAGAGCACAATTTCTTCTTCATCTCAAAAACGAAAAAAAAAATCTCATCACACTAGGGTCAAAGTCTTACTTCATGACATCATAGGTATCCAGGAGGGCCAGGAAGCCAGTGGGGAAGGCGCGGGCGTAGGACACAAAGGCGGCCAACTCGCCCATGTGAACCTGGTCTATGGGGAAACCTGGGGAAAAATGGAAGGTGAAAATGAGGGTATTACTAATATATAGGCCAACTTCATGTAGAACTGTACAGTTTTCCCCATTTCAGGCCAGTTTGTGTCAAATTAAAAGCCTGGCTACTATGTAAACATATCCCACATGCTCAACACACTTTGAGTGGAACATAAGGGTTAGTAGCCCCCCCCCCCACCCCAACACACACACACAC